GGTATCGAAGAATCCATAGGTCCGTCATCCTATTCATGTAGCCCCTTCCGCCGGGGTTACTTGCGTAGTAGCATTCCAACAACGCCCTGTTTTCGTCTCTTGCCCACCGATGCCTTCTTGTTCCAGTAGCCCACTTTTCGTCAGGGTGCCCTGGTTCCTCAACACCTGACGCGGACCTTGTTGATCCGGGCGAGGAAGTACGAGAAGTGCGAACTGCACGTACTCCGAAGCGTGCGGTCGCTGGATTGGGACACAGCCAATATCTGATAGAGGAGGAAGAGCTGGAAACACTTCCTGTGTCCTTCACTCACTTCCTGTTCCTGTCATGGAGATGTGACGTGAACAATCACGCATGCAGCAACATTGTTCACTTGCTCACAACAAAAACACTTGTCTACTAGAACAAGAGCAAGGGTTCTCCAAGGAGAACTTCTCTGGGAACAATAACAGTGGTCACCATTTATTTTCCATTTGGTTAGATCTCTGTTTAACTGTGAAGTCATTTTTAGAAAAAAAAAACTCCCTTATACTCTGAGTAGATGGATGAAAGAGGAAAGTTCTATCATTAAAACTTTTGCAACCACAGCTCATTTGTTGTTCTGTACATTTACAAACAAGCAAGCTTGGAAAAATTTCTGTCTTTTATTTATTTATTTGTTCAATACACAGCATACAATGCTGTGGGTAAAAGCAAGGCACAATAAAAGTCCAAAATACAACTAAAAATGAAGTCCAATAGAGTGAAAGGATTAAAAAGAAAAGTTGGAATTAAATGTGACACAAAATGAAGTCAATGAAAAAGCATGTTAACCCCAAGTTGCTGTGATGAATTAGTGTGAGTGCACTTACATAGGAAGAGCATAGAACAAAGTACTTGTATGAATGGGTGAATGAGGCTGATTGTATCAAAGTGTTTTTAATGCTTAGAGTAGAACCACTCCATTTCCCATTCAGTAAAGGTGTTTCAGTGCTGTGGTTTTGTCGCTAACCGGATTGGGCTGGGAAAAAAAGCATGTTGAAGGCAGCTGCTCACATCTCAGGTGGGAGGAGCTAAAACATGAGGAGAGGATGTACAAAGTGAGAAATGAGAGAGGAGGACAGACTGCAAAAACTCAATTACCTTAGGCATCGCCTCTTTATTGCTTTATTAATAAATGAACTAAAGAGAACAAAGACTTGGAAGAAAATCGATTTTCCAGCAAGACAACAAGAAACGTTCCTCAGAAATAGTTGACAGACAACACGTCCAATCCCTGAGCAACCTGACAGAGCTTGGACCCTTTGAAGTGCTGTGATTGCTCCCAGATGTGAATCTGCTAAATATGGACCTACAAGGCCTGAATATTTATGGATCACTGAGTTTATCTGATACATGTTTATTCATTGATAATATTTGAAAAACTATGTTTTCAGTTTGTCATAAAAGACTTTTTCAACAAATCCTTGTTTAAAAACAGACAAATGACTTTAACCATAATTTTCTTTATTGACGTAATCAAGGGGTGAGACATCCAGCTAGCAGTTACATAAGGCTTAAAGGTATAGTGCAGTATAGTGCTGTACTGACCTGTTAAAGCTACAGCTGAACATCAGTCTGCTGGAATCACATCTGCTTCTTGTCCAGTTGTTGCCTTGTGTGAAGAACACAGACATATAGAAACTCTCCAGCACAACATTATGAGCTCCAACTTAGAAGTTTCCTTTTCTAATGGCCATTGCATCCCACAACTACTACATAGTAATCTGTATTTATTACATTACTATTATCACTACTCCTCAATTTCCTAATAAATCTGTATATTTTCATTATTTATATGGTTTATCTCATTTTGATCTAAGTTAAGTCTTACTGGTGTGTTTGTGGACACACACACAGAATTTCAGTCTGTGTGTGTGACAAAGAGGCAGACAGGAGCAGCTAACATTTGGAAATGGCAGCTTAAATACTGGAAACTTTGATAAGCTAATGCTGTTTAGGGGCTGTGTAAAATCAATATTTCATTCTCATTCTGTTGTTTGACAGCAATAACAGAAAAATATGTACTTGAGAACACATTTACTGTCAATTCAGCTGTGAATGTCGAGTTTGTCAGAATACATCATGGTCACATAAATCCTGAGCAGAGCAAAGTGGCCTACTTAGCTAAGCTGCTCATGTTGTAGAAAGCAAGGGAAAACAGTATTAGCGGATAATGTTAATTTACATCAAATTAGAATTAGCTGCTAATGGCAGCCTAGCATTAGCTGCTGGCGTTGTTATAAAGCAAGGGATATTTCATTCTCATTCTGTTGTTTGACAACAATAAGAGAAAAATTTGTACTTGAACACATTTATTGTGGATTCAGCTGTGAATGACACCAAGAGGAGAAAAGCCCCTGGCAGCAAAAGCAGGGAGGTGTCCTTTCCAGCTAAACAGAAGAGGAATATAAAGATAATGAAGGTCACAGTTTGAATCAGTCATATTTCATTTAATACAGTGGTGTACTGACAGATCCAGGATCAGTCCAAATCATCAGCAGTTTGATCCACGTATGGATTGAAGTGTATTTGTGAAAATGTTGGACTGTTCCTCAGTGTGTAACAGTGTGTGTGTGAGAGCCATGTAATGTCCATGTGTGCATGCTGACTGTGCTGCTCTGACCCCCCTCCTCCTTTCAGGGTGGAGCCTGCTGGAGTCCGATGGTTGAGACCAGGTCTGAGGAAGTGTAAGTGTGTTTTTAATGGGATTCATGAAAACAAAGCAGCACACATTCAACCATCTTCATCATGTCAGGAGTCATCATCAAAGTGTCAATCAATGAACAGATGATGGATCAATAACTGCAGCTGGATTGTGTTTGTTCTCTCCATCAGATTCCTGTCAACTCACAATCGACACAAACACAGTGAACACAAAGCTCCAACTGTCTGACAACAACAGGAAGGTGACGCGTGTGGAGAAGGTTCAGTCATATCCTGATCATCCAGACAGATTTGATGTTCATGAACAGCTGCTGTGTAGAAATGGTCTGACTGGTCGCTGTTACTGGGAGGTCGAGTGGAGTGGACACGTTTATATATCAGTGAGTTACAGAAGAATCAGAAGGAAAGGAAACAGTGATGACTGTTGGTTTGGATACAATGATCAGTCCTGGAGTCTGTGCTGCTCTGATGAACCTATTTGTGTTTATCATAATAAAAGATCAACAGCCATCTCCTCCTCCTCCTCCTCCTCTGTCTCTAACAGAGCAGCAGTGTATGTGGACTGTCCTGCTGGCACTCTGTCCTTCTACAGAGTCTCCTCTGACACTCTGATCCACCTCCACACCTTCAACACCACATTCACTCAAACTCTTTATCCTGGGTTTATGGTCTGGTCTCCTGGTTCCTCAGTGTCCCTGTGCTGAGTGGAGTGTAAAGAGAGTCTCCTGCTACAGAAACACTCTGACTGTTGAACAGATAGTTCAGTCTGTACATGTCTGTCTCTTTCACTCACAAACACGTTTTCAGATTCATGGATTCAATCAGTTGATGTTTAAAACTCTTCTAAATGATTCCTTGTAAACTTCTTCTTCTTCAGTCCTTTAAAGATGGAAGCTCCCATTATTCCAGGATCCACATGTTGTTTTCTGTCTTTTTTCACTCAAAGCTTCACAGTGAATATCAGTATGTTGTGTTTCTCTGAAGCTCAGTTTCCAAATGTTTGATTTCTCTTTCTTAATGGGATGTTTCCAAACTCTCCACATGCTCTGTTTCACTCATTGTTGGAAGTTCATCATTTGAAAATGTTTCAGCCATATGAGCTGAAAATATTGGCTCAATAGTTTTGAATGCAGTTCTAAGCAGAATCTGATTGTATTGAAGCGTCAATCCTTATTTGAAACTACTCTTGTGTTTTTCCCATGCTGAACAAGAACATGGTGCAGGATGTTGGTAACAGCTTGGTTATCAAACTCTTAGAAACATGTAAATATGTGTGTATAGCACTGCATATGTTGAGTATCACTTTAGTTTGTATGAAACATGAAAATTATCACATGGGTCCTGGTGAAGAATCTGCTGGACTTTGGTGACAGACATTAGATTTGCTTTGATGTCAAACTTTTAGAAGCTGTTTCATTGTTTTTCGTGCAGCTCTAATTTGATGAAATGCTGCATCAAAAACAAAGAGTAAGTGATGTCACATGTGTTCCTGTCCACACAGCAGAATGAGTCGCTGACAGTGATGTACAAACAGAGTGAGCATTTCTGAGGCCCAAAATAAACTGAGTAGTTCACTGAATGAACAATGGACTGTGAGCTCAGTTCCTTCATCATTAGTATGGATTATATATGTATATGTATTATATTAGTATCATATATATCAGGTGCTGCTGCTTTCAGTCATTGTGCAAATGTGCTGTTTGTAAGCTTGTAAAGCTGCAGTCAGCTGAGACTGAAGAAGTCACCTGATCAGTGAGCAAACGTTTCTGAAACGTCCAGATGAACAGAATCAACCTTTGGGATCAGCCAGCAATGCAGCATCATTGTTGTTCAGCTTCAGAGGTTTGCAGGAATGAACTGATGACCAGAAACAGCTGCAAAGTCCAAGAAAATACCAGCTGGAGTTCAGCTGCATTTGAAGAAGTCAAAGAAAAGTAAGGATGGCAAAGGGCGACGTTTTCTTCCAAAGAGCTGCAAACATGGTCGACGCCTCATTAGAAGAATCATCTGGACATTTGTGAGGAACTCTAACCAAGAAAGCAACGTCACACAGATCCAACAGACAGTTTCCATGACTGCAAGTGTTGAGTGGAAAAATGCTACATTGCATTATTGCATCCTCTCACCACAGGAGGCGCTGTTGGCACCACTGATTGCTGATCAGCTGTTCTCTGATGATCTGATTGATACTGTGAATAACGGGACTCACTGAACTCTGTGACACAGTGAAGATTACAGAGTTGAACTTCAACATCTGACTGACGTCACACAGACAGAAGGATGAACCAGTGAGGCACAGAACACAGTTACTGGAGATACTGGATCAGCTCCATGTGAACCTCTGATGGAGAAGCTGCTGAGCCAGAGAAACATCAGGACATGACAGCAGCTGCACTTATCTAACAACATGTAGCAGAGCTGATCTATGTTAGAGGATCTATCACAGCAGCTGAAGCCAAAGTCCAACACTGGATACCAGCTGAGCCTGTGCTGAGTGTAGTGTTACAGGAAAAGGGCAGAAACACTGG